TACACTATCAAAATTAACTAAGTCCAAATTGATTGGCTTATTTTTCTTTTGCCTCCTCGTGTCAATCCCAACGTCACCCGGAGGAATATCATCTTCCTCCTCCTCTTCATCCGTCGGCTCAACTTCACTACTAGGCAACGCATGATCACTCGCCGAAGGCGCTGGAATCGAATCATCGCTGTCACTACCGAAATCCACAACTTGACGCCCGTAACGACGCCTACTAGAACCATCTTCCACAACACTAGAGCGAATATTAATATTAGACTCCAAATCATCACTCCACGACTCAAGGATTTCTCGCTGACCGAAATTCCTCCGAATCACATCAACTTCGTCATCAACTGCCAACTCCGAGACCTCGACCCGATCGCGCGAATCGCGTCGAAAACGGACCTCCAACGCGCCCTCACGCGCGCGCGTGACCCCAAGAGGGCCTGATCCACGCGCGCGCGCGTAAACAGCTGGCACAGAGACACGTGCCACCTCCCCATTCGCCCCCGCGCGCGCGTCTGCTTCAATCGGCCCAACAGACGCGCGCGCGCGTCACCATCGACACGTGGACCAATGGTGCGCACGCGTCCACCTAACCCACCAACCGACGCGCGCGCGCCCCCTTCTCTCTCCTCCACCGACGCGCGCGTACGTCCATCGAACGGCGTGCCAGACGCGCCCCCCACCTCAGCAGCTCTCTTCTCTCTCCTCTCGTCGGAAATTGTGCCAGCCCCCACAACCCTACCCACCACCCTCCTTTTCACTTCGATTCGCCCACTAGCCGACGCAAATCCGACTTCCGCATCTGTTATTACTACCTTTTCGTGTTTCATACCCACCGTACCAAAAGTTTTCTCGCCCCCTTCAACCGGATCTCGGAGTTTAATTCGCAAAGATTTCGACTTACTCGGGTTCGACATTAGAAATATTTTTACCCCGAAGAAACAGTCAAGAAACAAAAAATTTTCTACTCTACCGCTATAGAATAAAAGCAGAAAAGCACAGAAGAATACCTAAAGTTAAAAATACATACCCATATTTATTACGCAGAAGTTGAAGTTCAATTCTTTCCACCACAAAAGGAGTCTATTTATCTGGCCGGGGTATATTATTTAAAACCCTTAAATATATACCACGCTGCCAAGTAAATACAATTATCCCTTATTTAAATTAAGGAATTAATTAAACGCCAACGGAAACAATTCAATCCACGACGCAATTAACTCTCGACACGACCCGGATCCCTCTACACAAGTCCCCATCTCGAATCGAGAGTTGGGGGTCTTAATGATATACCTAAATGTTGCCGGCCCAATGGGCCCTCAAATTTATCTACTAATTAGGCCCACTACACGAATGCCCAAACGCCTTCAAAGTAAGGCTTGGGCCCAACAAATTAAGCCCCAACCCAATCACCGATATATAAATAGATGTTTTACTCATTTGTTAAGGTACGTTTCTATTATTCACCAACAAGCTAGAGTTTAATTCTCTCTACCATCTCGGCAATCCGTATATCTGACTTGAGCGTCGGAGGGGTTTCCGCCGGATCAACCCCCGGCGTAGTTCACGTATGTTCATTTCGCAGGGACCTCAGGATCATCAAGTTGTCCAGCTACTGATCCGCTTTGCTCTCCCAGCTCATTTTCTACACCACCCTAGGTGAGCTATATTTTAGCATCATCACATTGGTTTTCGAATGTCACTTGATTAGTGATTGATTTCTTTGTCGCCAGTCGGTATTATCATTTTAAATCAATAAATATGCTTAAATAACACATGTTAATATATGTTATATATTAAATATAAATATGTCAAATAAGTATTGGAACAAAGGATTGGATTTGAAGATAGAGGCTTAACCTGGATTAGATTGGTTATTTAGAAAACCTTGAACTTTATCCAAGATTTTCCAGAATAAAGAGAAAATCCCCTTTCAGAATGTGGCAGTGAAAAAATATGAAAAGAGAGTAAAAATTTAATCTTTAAGAAAATTACTAGTGAAGAAGATTAAGGGTGGAAATAGGTAACACTTTCGAAAAAGATTCAATTTCTTGGAAAGTGAAAAACTATCTCCAACTTTATTAACGAAAAAAGAAGGAAAAACCGGAAATTGGAAACTGGGATTAGGGTAGTCCAGTTTCGAAACACGAATACGAGTACATTTGATAACACTAGATCTCTTTCTCCAAATATTCTTGATTTGATTTCCACGTGTGAGGAGGAGGGTTTGCCGGAACGCCCGGAACGGAACGGGAACGGCCCTCTCCATTCCGAATTCCCTAACAAAACCGTTCCATGACGAAAAACGTTGCCAAAACGGGCAAAAAACGGTCCGGGAAGTCGGGACAATGCAATAAATCAGATGGTCGCGGTGTCACGCCTACCATAACGGTATTGGAACGCCATGAAGCATCTAATTTGCTTCTCCAGCTCTCTATCGACGATTTAACGATCTCAACCTAGGGTTTTAACTTTTAATTAAAAGTTTTAAAGAATTACAATAGCTTACAATTTCACCCTTAATTATAGTTTAAATATAGTTTAATTTAGGGCTAGGAAACAATATGCGAGAATTATGAGTAGGTTTCTTATATATGTTTTCAAAATTCGACATCTAGACCTCATTGTTTTATATTTCTCTTAAAGTAACAAGATAAATTCATAACTTACTATTCACCCTTAATTCTATTCTCAAGATTTCAAGAATTGTTCTCAAATTTAAAATTGGAGTTTTAGCGATAGTTTGTGTATTATTATTCTATTGTAATATTAATATTAAAAACTTATTTGACATTAATTCTACCCTTTTGCATATGTCCATATCCGCCGTAACGTTGCAATGACACTGAAACAACGGTGTCCGCGACAACATACCGCAATGTTTCGGCAAACCATCAGATTTTAAATTACAAGGTGCCCAAACCTAATTGAACTATACGCATGGTCATTTATTTTGCCTTGAAATTGACATTAATACAATTCACTAGATCACTTGTACATATCCTTTAGATATTTTGGAATTCAATAACTGCGGAAAGAATATTTAGTAACCGTAGTTTTGTTGTTGTATGGTATAGATTCACGAGGAAGCAAAGAAGTTTTCGTATCAGACTGGTGTCAAAGTAGTCGTTGCTTATGGTGTCTACATACATATACCATAAGAATTCATTCATGGTTTCTCTAATATGATACATACACCATATGATATTTTGTTTTAATATTCTTCTTTTCTTAATATTATACATACATACATACATACATACATACATATGAATTCATTCATGGTTTCTCTATTCCTTCATATTATACAAGTTTAATTTAACTTCATTTTAATATTATGCCCCTTAGCTTGTCCTCTTTACAATATCTATTTTGCTGAATAAAGAGCCTCATACTTGGTTCTTATTAATTACTTATAAAATATGTCAGCAATAATCTTTTGAATGATAGATAATTTTTGGAATGTGTGTATGCTGTTCTTGAATACTTGAATAATGCTGTTCTTGAATACTTGAATACTCTGGTTTATGGGATATATCTTGGAGTTGTGTTGGGCATATCTTGAACTTTTATATATGAAGAGGGGTAATTAGAACTTGATTAATCGACAAGAGGCATCTTCTGGTGCGCGTTTGTCGGAAGTGAATTTGCTGGTGATGGAGTTGAGAAAATTTGATGAAGAGTTGGTAATATAGAGGGTATTTGCTAAGTTTTTTATGACATGAGAAAAATGTACAGTTGCGATTTTCACAAGGGTAGTAAATGCAATAAGCTCATATAATCTGCAACCCGAGAACCTGCATCCAAATTAAATTTCCTACGAGGAGTTTGGGCATCGGGTTCGGTGCGAAAAACGTCGGGGGCGACTAGTTTGGGCAAGGTTGCCCCGCACACCGGCCCAGCCGGTGCCGAAAGTCCGAAAATTTTCCGACGCGAAAAAAATAATAAAAAATACGAGGACGTAGGAAATTGAATTTGGCACCGTTGTTGTCTGGGCCGTTTGGTCAGATTTCGAGAATTGCTCTGAAAACGTCGGGAGCGACTAGTTTGGGCAAGGCTGCCCCGCACACCGGCCCAGCCGGTGCCGAAAGTCTGAAAATTTTCTGACCCGAAAAAATAATAAAAAATACGAGGATGTAGGAAATTAAATTTTGATAAAATTAAATTAATAATTAAATTACTGTCTGCGACAGTTAAATAACTGTTGGAGACGGTAATTTAGTAGCCACGACAGTAATATTAATTAAAATATTTTGTTTTAAGAAAAAACAAAAAAAAAAATCAACTCTTCCCGGCGGTCAACGGTGGTTGACCTACTGGAAAAAAATTAGAAAAAAATTCAAAAAAAAAAGTCAATGCCGGAGACCGGCGGTCTCCGGGTGTCAAAATTGGGGTCAAAATTGAAATTAGGGTTAAAATTGGTTAATTGATGAAATTGGGCTAAATTGGGGTGTAAATCATGAAATTGGAGTTGAATTGGGTTTCAATGAATTGGGGTAATTTTGGTATCTATAAAAGTATTTTCCATATTTGCAAATAAGTTTGAATGAGTTGGATTTATTTGAAAGACAAAAACGTTGGATGTCCCTCTTTTAATTAAGTGCCCTTGTCATGGGCCTTTTTGGCATTCAACCAAGAAGTATTGAGGGGTTATATCAAAAGTCCCTTCTCATAACAATAACAAATGATCTAAGTAAATTGATCTGTTATAAGAAAAAAATATTTTTATTTGAAGAAAAGAAAAATTGAAAAAAAAACGTTAAGAGAAAGAAAAAAAAAAAAAAAAAGATAAAGGGGGCGGATTGAGTTGGTATGATAGAAGAAAGAGTCCATTATAACTAAAACTATGTAATGATAAGAGAGAAGAAAAGAGTTCATTAGACGTGGTATATATGTGACAAATATTATAAATATAACCCCTTAGAGCTGCAATCTGCATGCATTATTAATTTTAAAGAAACTGAAAAAATACTTATTAAATATGTGACCAATCGATTATAGCAATGGAGTCGTACTCGCTAGGTTATTGTTTCGTGCCGACGGATGAAGAACTCATCGTTGAGTACTTACTAAAGAAGATCGACAATCAGCCTTTACCAGCCGATGTTATTAAAGTCGTCAACTTTTCCGATCACGGTCCCGATACTTTAACACGTACGTAATTAGTTTGTTTTTTTTTTTAAGTTCATGCACGAACGATCTTGTGTATGTGTTCTTTATGGATTATGTTTTTTAGGTTTTACGATTATTTTCATCTTAATTGTATTAAGGTTTCTTGATTATTTTTAATTAATTAAGTTGTCAACTCTTCCTTGTTTATGCATGATCTTTTGTTTTCTTTTCTTTTTTTATGGATCTGATTTTTAATTTTATGATTATTTTCATCTTACATGCATATTGATCTTGAATTATTGAAAATACATACAGGCTTTTTAATTTTATGATTATTTTTATCTTACATGCATATTGATCTTGAATTCTTGAAAATATATACAGGCGAATATCCTCCAGTTGGACACAAGGAATGGTATTTTTTCACCCCGAGGATTCGAAAGTATGCCAAGGGATCGCGGCCTAATCGAACTGCTGGCAACAGATTTTGGAAAGCTAGTTCTGCCGACAAGGATATTAAGTTTAATAATAAAATTATCGGACACAAGATGACTTTAGGTTTTCATGAAGGAATATCTTTAAAAGACGGGATTAAGACCGATTGGATCACGCATGAATATACAGCTATTCATCCTTCCTGGAATAAAAGAGATGTCGACGACAACATGAAGGTAAAAAATGTTTCGAAATCAAGCAGTGCTAATAAACGGCAGGCGAATCTCCTAGAAAATCAACAAGAAGAAGAAAAAGAAGAAGAAGTTGCGGTGCGAGAAAATCGAGGAGAGGAAGAAGTTGTTGCATCACTTGGCAACATTTATCACGCGGGCATGCCATTAGTCGTTGAAGATGAAGAAATTATTCACGCAGGCTGCATGCAAATAGTTCAAGATCAAAATCCAGAAGAGGTAGGAGGAGTTCGTGAAGTTGTTGCGGAAAATGCAAACGCAAACGCAATCCCAATTTCATGGTTGGACGATTTTATAGACATTAATGCAATATTAATGACGAAAGTGTTGGGTTTTGGGCACGTGTGCGCAGCGGAAAACAAAAATTTTATGCGAATTAAACGAATTTAAAGCACATAAACACATGCCCGATAATATAAATCAATTAATTGCGTACATTTGCGCTTCCAGCGAAATTAAAAACAACATACATGCTAAAATGTTTAACTGAATTTAAACCAATTAACATGCTCGCGTTTAAACCAACTAACATGCTCGCAACGATTAAAACGATTACACATAATCACATAAAATCATTCGAAAGCAAACATGAATATTTAGTTTAAACGTAAACGAATCGAAACATGAGATTCGTGTGTTTACCTCTTGAAGCGTGAGGTAGGAGCGCTAAGCAAGTTGAGATTGCTACGGAAACCAATCCGTGCGGTGCAGCGGCAGCAGCGGCGAGACGGCCACGGCGGCGCGTGTATCTCACGCGCGGTCTTCGGGTGGCGCGTGGGATCGCGTGCGGCTTCGGCTCGTGTGTTGCTCCTTGGTTCTTCGATCTTCGATCTTCCTCCTCTCGGATTTCACCTCGTACACTTCGATCTACTAAACACGTGGCACTAGACACGTAATAGTTAGAAAAACGGAAGAAAAAGAGAAGGAAAGAAGCTACCAAAGCAATCGGCCAATGAACGGCCGATTACGGCGAGGTTCCGGCGACGGCGCCGGTGATGGCCGCGGGAGAGAGGCCGAGAGAGAGAGGGGTAAGCGGCTAGGGTTTTGATTAGGTCTTGTGTGTATTTGCAAGGCCTATAAATCAAGTATTTATAGTCCCTTGCATAAAACCCTAACGGGCTTAAGTTGGACCGGGCCCAACAGCTTAAGCTCGTTAGTTCATTTTACTTGCTCGTCTCTCTCAATTCAATGATCGGAAAAATGCAACGATTACAATTTCGGAATCATTAAAATATCCTCGTCATTACGAGTGCCAACTCTCAATTTCCAACTTTCCAAAAGTGGAAACCCTAGTTCAGTGCACTTTCTAAACTTGGAAACTTCCCGATTTAGAAAGTTCACTAATACGTTCGCCTATTCGTTTCCTTTTCTTATTCTCATTCATAATTCCAAATTACGAATGTTGGATCCAATCATATTGACTTCCAATCATGCAAAGATAAACTATTTTATCTCTGACCGTTTATTCAAAGATCTCATGTGCACGAGCAGTGTGACCCTCGATGGTTTAGGTGTAAGCTAGCCGTGGGCCCACAACCCTTTGTGGTCAAAACTCGTCCCTTAGAGTTACGATTAAGATGAAGCTCGTTTCACCTTAATCACCCAACGAATCAAGATTGGCGTCTAGCAACTACGCGTCATGATTCCCTAGATACAAATGAAGTGCCTGCAAGAACCTTCAGATATAGTTAACGTACAGTACGGTCCCTTCGATACATATGTCCCGATCGAACTAGAGGCATTGGTTCATCGAGACCTCTTTATATGTTCGATGACGGTTACAAACTTTCAGAACACACAGGACATCCAAGACTATTCTAGCGATCGAATCCCCGACTACAATGCACAGACCTCCCACTAGATTTCGGACTGCACGAACACTGGCCCTTGGGATGGTCCTCGGTGGAACTCAGGGACAGGTCACGATACAGCTGGTCCTCTAGTGAAGTCACGGTGATGTCTAGGTCATAAGGACTAATGGTGTACAACTATACCATAGATATCTCTACTCGATTATTGGGAACCACTTAGAGATTTCTAGGGTGAGGGAGTTCAGTGAACTCGTCAACTTACGAGCACCCACTTATGCATGCCGATATCACAATACCGTTTACTGATGAGATGCAGTACACATACACTAAGTGCTAGTCTTAATGGGAAAGGCCGATATCCTCATTAGTGGCGTAACCCTTCGACTAGGAACACGTTTAACAGTTATAATACTTAAGTAAATATCTCACGATCCTAACGATCAATTACTAGTACTTGTAATAACTGTAAGGACTATATATATGCTTGCGACAAAGGCACAAAGATATAGAATGCCAAGGCGTTTTATCATTAATACGAATAAAGGTTCGTTTATTACAATAATAAATACGAAAAACCACAGCCACATGTTGGCTTGTTGGTCACCTACTCTAACAATCTCCCACTTGACCTAAAGCCAACTACCCATAAATCGCAATCCTATCGACTCTCGATGTTTCTCATGGACCGATCTCGGTAAAGGCTTCGTGAAGGGGTCTGCAACGTTCTCTTCCGAGGTGACTCGTTCTACCTTAACTTCACCTCTATCAATGATCTCTCGGATCACGTGATACTTCCTCAGAATATGCTTCGACTTCTGATGAGATCGCGGCTCCTTAACTTGCGCCACAGCTCCGGTGTTATCACAGTACAACGGTACTGGATCACTAGCATCAGGAATGACACCCAACTCTTGGATGAATTTCCTTATTCAAGTCCCTTCCTTTGCAGCTTCGGACGCTGCAATGTATTCCGCTTCGGTAGTGGAATCGGCCGTCGTGTTTTGCTTGGAACTCTTCCAACACACGGCACCACCATTAAGCGTGAATATAAATCCAGAATTCGACTTTGAGTCGTCCACGTCCGATTGAAAACTAGAGTCGGTAAAACCCTCTAATTTCAACTCGGCACCCCCATAGACCAAAAATATATCCTTAGTCCTTCGCAAGTACTTGAGGATATCTTTCACGGCTTTCCAGTGAGCCGGGCCGGGGTTAGACTGATATCTTCTTGTGACACTCACAGATACGCAATATCGGGTCTCGTACATAGCATGCCATACATTATGCTTCCTATGGCAGAAGCATAGGGCGTCCTTTTCATCTCCTCGATTTCACTAGGTGTTTGCGGACACATAGATTTCGAGAGATGAACCCCATGGGACATTGGCAAGAATCCCTTCTTGGATTCTTCCATGCTAAACCGTTTCATAACGGTGTCTATGTACAGGCTTTGGGATAAGCCAAGCATCTTTCTCGCTCCATCTCTATAGATGCGTATTCCTAATACATAAGATGCTTCTCCCAAATCCTTCATTGAGAAACGTGTGGACAACCATGCTTTCGTTTGCTGCAACATTCCTACGTCATTCCCAATGAGTAGAATGTCATCAACGTAAAGCATCAATGCCCTCCCACTAACCTTCTTGTATACACAAGGTTCCTCCGGATTCTTCTCAAAATCAAACTCTTTGATAGTTGAGTCGAACCTAATGTTCCAACTTCGGGATGCTTGTTTCAATCCATAAATGGATCGCTGGAGCTTGCAAACCTTTTGCTCACTTCCAGAAGATATGAAGCCTTCCAGCTGCGCCATGTAAATTTCTTCCTCAATATCTCCATTAAGGAAGGCGGTCTTCACATCCATTTGCCATATCTCGTAGTCGTACCACGCAGCTATGGCCAGCAAAATCCTAATGGACTTCAGCATCGCGAGTGGTGAAAAAGTTTCATCATAGTCAATGCCTTGCCTTTGAGTGTAACCTTTCGCTACCAATCTAGCTTTATAGGTCGATACCTTTCCATCCACTCCAATTTTCTTCTTATAGATCCACTTGCAGCCTATAGGAACAATTCCCTTAGGTGGATCTACCAAGGTCCACACCTTGTTGGAGTACATGGAGTCCATTTCGGATTTCATGGCAGTTAGCCAATGTCCCATGTCTGCATCCGATACGGCCTCATTGTATGTTCTTGGATCTTGTCCAAGATCAACATGATCTTCATCATTTTCGAGGAGGAATAACCTATCCGGCAATTTCCGAACTCTTTCGGATCTACGTACCGTAGGTTCAGGAGGTATATTAGTGGTTTGTTGTATTGGTTCGATTGCTTGTTCTTGCGTTTGAACTTCACTTTGTGGTTCTTAAACTACTGCAAGTTATATCATGCTGCCCTTTCTATCGGATAGAAACTCCCTTTCCAAAAAGGTGGCATTTCTTGAAACAAACGTCTTTGCTTCTTTGACATAATAGAACTCGTATCCCATTGAGTCTTCGGGATACCCCACAAAATAGCACAAGTCGGATTTACTATCCAACTTATCTCCCAATAACCGCTTCACATAAGCGGGACAACCCCATATCCTAATATGTTTGTAGTTGGGTTTCCGGGAATGCCAAAGTTCATAAGGTGTGGATTTAACTGCTTTGGTGTTAACTCTATTCAGCAAATACGCAGCAGTACGAAGTGCATGACCCCACAAGTATGCCGGTAAGTTCGTGAACCCCATCATTGATCGAACCATATCTAATAAAGTTCGATTCCGACATTCGGAGACTCCATTAAGTTGAGGAGTTCCCGGTGGAGTCCATTGGGATTGTATCCCATTCTCTTTTAGATAGTCAATGAACTCGATGCTCAAGTATTCTCCACCACGATCGGATCGCAGCTTCTTAATACTTCGTCCGAGTTGCTTTTCCACTTCGTGTCTAAAATCTTTGAACCTTTCAAATGTTTCAGACTTGTACTTCATCAAGTACACATACCCATACCTAGAATAATCGTCGGTAAAGGTAGCGAAGTAGTTATATCCACCCTTCGCACTAACACTTAGTGGACCACATACGTCTGTATGGATCAAATCCAAAAGACCCTCGGCTCGTTCCATTTTCCCTTTGTAGGGTGATTTGGTCATTTTCCCTTTAAGGCAAGATTCACAAGTTTGTAGTGATTTCACGTCCTCCAAAGAGAACAATCCTTCACTGACAAAATCGTTCATCCTTCTTAAAGAGACATGACCTAATCTAGCGTGCCAAAGTTGTGCGGGGTTTTGATCTATCTCCTTACGTTTTGCTGATATAACATTAATAGGTATTTCATTTGGATTTAGTTCATACAAGTTGTTTAATAGTCGTCCTTTGCAAATCAAATTCTCATTCTTTTGTATAATGCAAATCGAATTTCCAAAAACAAAAGTAAAACCTTCAATATCTAATACAGGAATATAAATAAGGTTTCTAATGAGGGACGGAACAAATAAACAATCGTTCAAAACAATAGGAAAACTAGAATCCAAAACATTTAAGTAAATTG